CCCTGGACCTGTGTGGAGGTGGTGTGAGAGCTGGAATAAAGAATTGCTGTTTGAATCTACAAAGCTGTGTGGTGGCTCGTGATTCTGGTGCCAAGCTGAGACATTGGCCTTTGGCATGAGATAGAGAGAAAGGTAGAAGGTCATAGATAAGATTAAAGGGAATATGCAATGATGGTGATGACTGATGAATAAACAAAAGCACATTTTGAGGAACCCAAAGAAATCCAATGTCCTGGCATGTATTTCAGAATTGCCCTAAACTAAACTGAAGGATGATATACGAAACTGAAGACAAACCTGACATTCATAGCAGATATTTCCCCATTGGCATTTAAAGATGTGACTTTGTGTCTTAATGAAATGGTTATAATGTCTTATATTGACTCAATTTCATAAATAGAATAGGACAGGTATTGTGCAATCTTAAGTAGAATTTCAGTTGTATAGGGATATTATTTATAATAAAACTTATAGGTACCCTATTTATTACCCCAGAATCCTACCATTAGGTAATACATATAAAAACTGCTATTTATTCTTCAATTCTGGAAGAAAGTAAAGGAGGTTTTATAAGATACAGTATATCACAATTAGGTCTGTGGCTCATCAGTCTGGCTTTTAAAACAGCAAGCGCCTTCAGAGACCACCCCAGGTTAAAAGTCTCTAAATACTTCATTTGCTTTAGGGTTAAATGATGTTTAGAGTTTGTTATCTTTTGTAGACCTTGGAAATCTAATTATTTATAATAGCCAGTGACATTTACATTTTGCTAAATATGTTCTGCTTGTATAAGAACACATCATGCTTAGAAAAATGGTACAGAATAACTGATTGTACTTTTTGCTTACATACAATGCAAAATATTGAGCTTACCTGAGTTATATTTTTACTATAATCACATGATTTTAAGCACATAATTCTCAAATTATGTGTCCTTACTCATTACCATTAAAATACAGAAAAAGGAAAAGTTATCATTGTTGATTCCATTTGTTTACCATTTAATTCTCAACTATCAAATCAAATATCTATTCCAGTTCATTGGTATCTTGAAATAATGCCATTCATTTCCATGCCAACCACTCCAGAGTGTTTGGTTTAGTTTTTCAGATTGATCGAAAGTAGATTGTAAAGTTGACCCATTGTGTTAAGCTTATTTACACAAACACAGTATCTTGAAAATAAACTGTGAAAAGTGCACAGCAGTTGAATCCTAAGGTAGTTCCCATCCCAAATTTTCTAATAACTGCTTTCCAAGGGCAGACAATCTCAACTTTACCAGGTACTTTACTGAGGAGATCATTACTTCGAATTTTTTTTTCTTAAATTTAAGTAATATTTATGTTTTGCTTTAGAGAAAACAATGAGCTTTTTGATTTGAAGAATTTCCCTGAGCAAATAATTTCATTCTGATGTATCTATGAAACAATTACAGATGATTTTCTTCCCCAGGCTCTTGAAACACTTTCCTC